AAGAAGCAACTGGATTTGGAACAACACCACAATATCAGAAACGTGGGCTTCGACAGGGTTGTAACTTGAGTAGTGTGTTGTTCATTCTTTATCTCTCCGAGCTGAGCAGGGGGATGCGGGCAAGCAGTATGGGAGCACAGTTGCCGGATGGTAGTGCAGTGAATATCCTGCTCTTTGCAGATGACATAATCATTCTAGGCAGGACAACGGACGAATTAGAGCAGCTGAGAGGAATTCTAGAAGGGTGGTGTGAAGATTTTCGGATGAGAGTCTCTGCAGCCAAGACAAACATAATTTCGCCAGATAAAGATTATGTTTGCCAGCTTCAGGATAGGATTAGAAAAGACGCGGAAATAATAGGACGTGTATCTTCATACAAATACCCAGGCATCCATCAGTTCTCAACCCATCGCAAGACGGCGTCGTATAAAGGTGAAACAATGATTTCAAAAGCGAATATGTATAAGGATGTCATTCTTCGAACTACTAGAGACGTGATCGACCGAATCATGGCCTTGTCAACCCTGTGGATCAATGTAGCTCTTCCAGCAATTCTTTATGGTGTTGAAGCTGTATCTGTGTCAGAACACATAATTCAACAGCTAGACTTGATTCAGACTAAGCTTGGGAAATCAGTGCTAAGAATCCCGTACTCATCAGCCAACACAATCATATATACTGAATTGGGGTGGAAACCAATCAGACTACAAATTGCAGCAGCTAAACTGAGATTCTTTAAACGAGTAGAGGACCGGGAATTCAAAGGCAATCAGCTGGTAAAGACCTGCATGGAATGGAATAAAGGAAATGGGAGAAGTCTGTATATAACTAACCACGATTTATTAGCCAAGTACAGAGAGGCAGACCAGGAATTGAGAGATATCACCATGAAACAAGTCCATCTCATTTATCAGCTAGAAGTCTAGGACTATGCACAAAAGCTGGTGTCACTTCGGCTCACCATGGTCCCTACAAGATGTTGGAAACTGACGAATTTCCTGGCTAATAGTAGATGCTCTAATGTTATGACTCGCTTTAAATGCATGAATGTAAGGCTGGGCAACAGGGATGCATACAGAGCGGCGGAAGCAGTAGCTGAGACATCCGGTAGGGTATTATTATGCCCTTTGTGTTTAAACGGAAAGAATAATGAAATTCACATTGCGCTGTACTGTAAGAGCCTGGCATATGAACGAAGCATCATTCAAGTAGGATCAAGCCCTCTATCATCAATCCTGGATCAAATTCTACAGGAACAAGGAGTTTTGGATGAAGTCAATGCGCTAAGGAAGTTCCTAGGGGACCGCAAGATGACCAAAACTATGTACCTAGAGAGAGGCCTGGCACTGGGTATTCTAGTAGATACCTTTTTCAAGAAATGGTCAGCCATCAGTGGAAGGCATATGGACAGACGGATTGTCTTCAACTGGATCTAGGTAGTTAATTTTTGACATTTTAAATCATTTTGGTAAATAACACGTATTTTCACCTAGGATTAATGGGAATGTTATGGAATTTTCTTAAATATAATCAAAGCTGCAAATAAAAATTCTCCGAATTATTACACTTGATGGCTGTGTCAGTTCGCCGATCACATGATATAATTATAATAAATCTATCATGTCCTAAGTCAGCAAATAGCTAAAAACATCAATCACTTGAGTATATCAAGACGCGTTATCTTAGGTTCCGAGACGACGTCTCTGTGCACGTAATTGGAAACCCAGAGCAAATCGTTGAAACAATTGAGGTAATATGTAATGGATATCCAGAAGAGTTAGTATTCAACATGGAAACAAAAATCATCCCAGGAAAATTTTTAAGTATTAAAATTCTTAACTTTCCTACAAAAATAAATCCATACACAACAGTACTAAGGAAGCAAAACAGTAAATATAATATCACGCTACCTAACTCAAACGTTGCTTGGAAATTTTAAAAAACTGGCTGGATATGGTTATTTTAGAACTGTACACACCCATTGTACAGATATAAGGGAGCTGAGAAACCAATGCAAAATAGTACGGCATGTGCTTTCTCTCAAAGGGTTTTCTAAAAGTCAAATTAGTAAAATCGAAAACCTAAGGAACAAAAGAAAAAATACATTAAACGATAAAAAGAAAATTTCTAACCACAATAAATTTCAATGAATGTTCGAATAGACACTATTTTGTCAAAAAATTCGTTAAGGAGTCCTCAATAAACCTAGATAACTACTATGTTCCAATGGATATTTCGGAAAAAAAAACTAGAACAGTATATCTTCACTGTAAAGAAAATGAGGAAGACTCTTAATTTTTAAACAATCAAAGGTAGAATAGGATTTAGCATCATAGTTCTTGTGTAACAATTGTAATTTAATTAGTCTAATATAATCTTAATAACTATATAAAAATCTTTCATTTACATGTAGCAAGTATACGGTTGCGGCTGTCAGAGCGGAGCATCAGCAATGGGAATATAATTAATTTATTTTCATAATATTAAAAGTTCTATTTTGAATAATTATTTTCAATACTTATTAATTTACTTTTAAAATCAATTTTCGCGTTCAAATTTATCTATTTGTTTATGGGTCCAGTGCTCAAGGGAGCGCTGGACCCATAAACAGTTTGCGCAGTAACAAAAAAAACTGCGCAAACAGTAATTGTGGAGCCAGCGCTCCCTTTTTAGTTGAGAAACCTTGTAATATACTAATGAACCCCAATGTGTAGGTGCGCTGCTCTGACTCCGACAATCCTTCAGGCTGCAAACATATAATTTCTTAAATGTTCTGAAAGGTTTACTAAATTATTAATTTAAATTGTTTTCGATTCTTATAGTCGGTTAAATTAATTCATTTAATCCAATTTCTTCTGTGTCAACATCAAACCTAGGATGATCATTTTAGGTAACCTGAATTGACAAGTCCTTTGCCTGGTTTATTAGATCCATAACCTACCAGATTCTTAATTCAATATAGAACGGGGATGTATATGTATTGGCTGATGATGAAGAAGTCTTCTAAGGCCAACTACGAAAGTAGAACCTAACCATTTCAATTTATAATATAAATCAATGTTCCCAAATTCACCAGCCAACAGGGCAGAGACCTGTTCCCGGTGAAAGTAATCAATGCAATTATACCGGGGACAAGAATCTGTGATTGGCGGTCTGGCAGTAACGTCGGATGTCCGTTGTAGATCGTTAATTTCGCGCGTTTTTTATCATTGTTAACAGTATAAATAATGTCGATTTAAATCTTAAAATTTCTTGTTGACTCTTCTGAATAACCAAGTGTAAATAAGCAAAAAATACAAATCGTAAGACCTCACTTCATTATTGATTTAGTATAGTCACTTCAATTTTGGGGTGTGGGTGTAGGACGTCCCTAAAAGAATGATTTGATTTGATTTTGAGTCCTGGAGTAAGGTTTGAGTCCTATAGCAAGAATTTAGTGATGGAGTTAGGATTGAGTCAGTTGAGTTAGGATTAAGTTTTGGGAAAAGGATTGAGTACTGGAGTAAGGATTAAGTTCATTGAGAAATAATTAAGTCCTGCAGAAAGGATCAAGTCCTGGAGTAAGGATAGAGTCTTGATTTAAGGATAGAGTCCTGGAGTAAAGATTGAATCCTTGCTCCGGGACTAAATCCTTACTCCAGGACTGAATCCTTACTTTAGGACTGGACTCATCCGTACTCAAAGAGTCAATCTTACTCCAGGACTCTATCCTTACTCCAGGACTCTATCCGTACTCCAGGACTCGATCCTTACACCAGGACTTAATCCTTACTTCAGGTCTTAATCCTTACTTCAGGACTTATCCTTACTCCATGGACTGAATCCTTACTCCATGGACTCATCCTTACTCGAGAACTCAATCCTTACAAAAGGACTTCATCCTTAATCCAGGACTCAATCCTTACTCCAGGATTCAATTTTTACTCCATGACTTATCCTTAGTTCATGACTCTATCCTTAGTTCAAGACTCTATCCTTACTCCAGGACTGAATCATGAAGTAAGGATTGAGTCCGGGAGTATGGATTAAGTCTGGGAGTAAGGATCGAGTCCTTCATCCAGCAGTGATAAATTATGTTCAGGATTAAAGAGAAATAATTTATGTGTAAACCATGAAGAAAAAGTTTTATCTAACTTTTATTTTTTTAGATGGAGAAGAAAGAAGAGATGGATGAATGTTTTTTCCTGCCATCAGATGTCTGACAATAATGATGAAACAATTTGTTTCATATTGAGCAATTATATTTTAAATTTTTTTTAGTTAATAAAATAGTAAATAAAAATTTGAGATTAGAAGTGTATAATGCACTTCTAATCTCAAATTTATTTCAGTAAGTTAGATTTATTTTTTAAAAAGGACGGATATGTAATAGACCTTGCCTAAAAATTAATATGAAAATTTAGAGATTTAGATTACAGTTTTTACTATAAATTCTATCCTTAATTATTTATTTTCCAAGGTGGTTTGGTCTTTAATTAAACAAAATTATGGTTGATTTTTTTATCTAATACATTTCATACCTATGCTTATGACCACTCTAAATTACAACTGAATTTAGGTTGATAAGAAGTCTAAGGTGAACAAGAGAAATCTGTAAAACAGTATCAAGTGCACTTGGTTAAATAGCAGCTTTTATCTGCAATAGGTCAAATACAAAATTTTGTAGATTTGTTGCAAAATTTCGTACACTTTTACAAAGGATGAGGCTGTAGAGACGGCTGCACGGAATTATAGTTTATTGTTGGTTATTTTGTAAGGTTGCCTTTATTTCAACAAAATAATCGATTTTTTAATATATTAATTGTAGTTCATTGTTAATTATTGTGTAAGGTGTACCCGCTTTTATTACATTTATATTTAGTTTTGAAAATAACAATTTCAATACACAAAATTTATTATTGAAAAACAAAAAAGTGTCGGAACACTCAAATTCCATCGCATGGCTGCCGGAAAGCATAAAAGCTTACTCCTTAGGAGATAAATAAAACTAAGAAAACTAATAAATACGAAAACAATTTATTATGAACCAGTAATGAAGCTAATGTACAATATTTTCTGAAATCATCTTGATTATGATAAAAGAACAAAAAACATAAGATCTTTTATTTCATAAATTAAAATTTATCCTCTACAACAAACGCCTCGTCAGAATCTCGCATCGTAAAGCAGAGCATTCCCAATCTACAGGTGAAAGTCTCGATATCACCAATGTCATCCATCTCATTTTCATCTGAAGTAACCTCCTCAAAGATCAGCTTCTAGAATATATTATTTCATCAATACAGGCAAATGATTGTTGACATGCTAAATATGTTACCCTAGTCAGACTGGAATCTGGAATTTCATCATCCAAAAGCTCAGATACCACAAACTTTGTGATTTTGTCATCATTAGTTAACACGTACATGGCATCCTGAAATAAAATAATCACAAAACAACTATTTAAAGCTTCATTAATAATTTCTTCTAAGAATCCCCCCTTACCTTTCTGATGTCCTTAGACTTTACAAAGCAGTTCAGCACTTGCTTGACTGGAGAACCCATTTCAATAGTTCTTATTTTGGATTGACCTTTGCCAGTGATTTCAAGAGTAGTTGGAGCCTTGCTGTCTTCGACCAGTTCCCTTCTGTATGTCTCACTGTCAGTTGCATAGGCAAATACATTGATGTAGGCAGTATCATCACTAGCTTCAAGCATAACTCTTGGGCATCCTCAGAGTAAGTACAAATAAATCAATGTTACTTTTCAAAATTTCGTTTTAATTAAAAGCTCTTGCAATTATTTGTGAAAAATATGTTATTCTTTAACTCAGTTTCTTACCATAGATTCTAGCTGGAACTCGAGCATCAAACTCCTCTAGAGCAAAGTCTCCCTTGTCTCTAGTCTGATGAAACCTTGCATCTAGGTCCATGCTGAACTTAGAGTTCTTATTCGCCTTGATCTTCAGCTCCGTGCCTTCTAAAGTCACCACAGACCTTCCCTTATCAGAATAAACCCATACCTTTTTTACTTCTACGTCTTGAATAGCAAAGATTGGACCATCCCTTACTTTAAGAGAATTAATCAAATCCCCCTTCTCACCCAAAACATGAAGAAATCCTTTTTGGTCTCCTGCATAGAACAATGATTTTCCTGCTGTATCAAGAGGATCGGCGAGAACAGCAGTAATGGGCACACTTGCTACTTCTGTTACAAATTTCTCCTTCTTGTTGTTTGAGTAGATGCAACCAACCTTTCCATTGACCAACCCAACTAAAACATGCCTGTCATCCATCGATATTGACATGATGTTCTCCTCAAAAGACTTCAGAACTTCTTTTTCATTCGCCATTTTTGAATCGCTAAATGTGTGACCTAAACATAATTGCAACAAAAAATAATGGAATAACGTACAAACTATGCTCAAGGAAGATAAATGCAAAAAAAAATTTTAAGACTTATCCAAATTGTATGGGATGATCTCACCCAAAAATGTTGGTACTTGTTGATTTAGTCTGGTGGGAAGAGAAGCATTTATCTTTGCTCTTGATTGGGGATTTAAATTCTGTGTATTTACGAATGATTTAATTTTCATTAGTTCTCTTCTGTAGCTTCTTTCTTCTGTGTTTTTCAACTCACGTATTTTTTCATTTTCCGACTTATCAGAGCTAAGGAAAACAAACTGATTGTAAGCCCTTACAGCCTTTTCAAATCGTTCTTCAATATACTTTATTTCCGTCATTAAAGCAAAAGGTTCTGCAGTCCAGGGAACTTTCTTATTTTCAATCTTGAGTGCATAGTCAAGAACTATCTTGTTAATCTCTTTGACTTCATTTGTAAAGTATTCTTTCAGAATAGGTTTACTGGCTTCTTTTTCTTCCTCTTCTTTCTTGGCTTGCTCTGCCCTCAATTCTGCATTTCTAAGCGCTCTCTCAGCTTGCCTTTCTTCCTTTTTCTTTTTCTTTAATTCATTATAATAATTTTCTGCTTCTATGTCTGCTTTATACGCAATATCTAAAACTTCCTGATGCATCTGTTTCATGGGACCAGTGCTGATACTAACAGCACTAAGGTTTGCCACCTGAAGGTGCAAAGCCTCCCATTTCTCAAGAGTACTTGCCATATATTCCTTGTATTTCAGAACTAACTGGAAGTTATTGCTTGAAATCCCATCTCGTATTCTTTCTGCTGTCTTTTCTAGCTTTTCCCTCTCGAGGTCTCGAATATTGGAAATTTCTTCCAAAGACATTCCTCCTTCAAATTTCCAACCGCACAAACTAGTCAACAGAGAGCAATCTAAGAATCTTTATTCTTAGCCTGAAGGGGAAACAGAGCAATTTATCTTAAGCTTTTCTTCTTTCTCAGATATAAACAAAAAGAAGAAGTAAAATGATTAATGGAGGAGAGGCAAACATTTCAACACTTTTTACCGATTTTCAATTACTTTTGCAACGTAAAGAGACGTTTAACTGTTTCTGAATCTTTTATGGATTTGATTTAAACTTTTTATGCTTAAAAGGCTTGCTTAGCTTTGTAAGGGTTAAGCAACTAAAAGAATATTGTAAAGAATTAAAAATATTTTGCGTAATCTTTTGGACAAGCTTTAATATATGCTAAGAAAAATAACCTTATAGTTAATGATTTTCGATTTTGATTTATTCCTTAATGTATCGATTTTCAAAGCAGTAGAAAAAAGATAATTTTGAATTTTAATCTGTTTTGGGGGAAAACATCTTTATGCATATGACTGTTCTTTTTAAAAGACTGAACACACCATTTCAATTAATAATTATTAATTAATTATTTTATTAATAGCGTGGTGTGTTCAATTCACAGTGTTACCCTTCACAGCTTTGTCTAATCAAACTTTAAAAATTACGTCATCATTCATATCATTCATCAGATGAAGGTTTTACTGGTACCATTGTGAATAGGCCATGCTTAAAAAAAGTTTTATGGATCGTCACTTGAAATTACGCTTACAGTCCCTTTAACACTTAAACATAAAATTTCTTTTCAACGTACAAATATTTACATTGGAAGTTTACTTTCGTCTAAAACACTAATATATATATTTTACCCTTTATTTTTCCTTTCGTTAAAGTTCATTACTTTAACCCATAACTTTTAAGATGATTAACGCTCTCATCAGACGTATATTTATTTACCTGTTGTTTTCTTCCTAATCAGTATTCTAGTGAAATATGTTTTCTTTATTAAAGCTTATAAAGGGTCTTATCAAGCGGAAACTCCACGCATGAGCTTCACATGGTCTGCATATTCTGATAGAGATAAGACCAATTCAACCAATAGTTGGTTGACATGTCATGTCAAGTTTTACCAATTGTGATTCAGAAGTTTCCAGAAGATTTGACTTATTGAAATACTTGATAACAGTTATCAATAAAATAAACTATATAGAATGGAACTCAAGAATATTGAACTAAGAACTAGGGGGGGGGGGGGGTGGAATTACAATGGGATATTGGAAACATTCATTCTCATATCTTTTTTATGAAATTGATATTCGGAAGTCTAATGATAAAATATTCGATCTAATATGTTTTTTTTCCTTTTAATCGACAATAAAGTTTTTTTTTCAATGAACTTTTTTCAGAACTTTACTTAATCTAATTGTTTCTGGCATATCTTATTGTATGTATCTAACAAATCATATCTAAATAAAATGTTGATCGATAGAAGTGAAAACATTAAGATGATTGTAAATCTAAGTTTCCATGTGCTCTTTGGAGCACAAAACAAATCAAGAAGCTGTCAAAAATAAAGATGATAATCAAGTTAGTAAACATATGTGCCAGCTACATACATTTATTTTGTAAATATACGTATTTTTGTTTATTTTTAATTTGTATGTTTCTTAGAATGTATGTTTATCATAGTTTATAATGTTTAGGGGCGTACTGGATTTTAGCGTCTTTTTTATCTTTTAGTCGCTCATCCTAGCCTTCATATTTAATTATCTAGCATAAAATCTTGCATTATAATGGAGAACATAGAGGTGAATTATGTGAGTTCCCCAAGAGCGTTTGAATGGTTTGCGCATTTTTTCTAAATCTATTTTTTGTGAAACTTTTCAAGTTAAATTTTTTGATTAAAGACTGATTGTACAGGAGACCGACTGAAAACAGTTTCGGCTAGTTCCGTCTCCCTGCCATAAACTGTAATTTCTACTAATAATATTGTTAATTATAAATATCCATCTATACATGTATTTTATGGCTAAATATATAATTTGATTTGATTTGATTTGATTACAGTCAAATGAGTTAAAAAATGAACCGTCAATAATATTCCAGGAAATGTCAAAAATCATATTGAAAAAATACCGATACAACTCTCTCAGAAAAGTTGGGCTAAAGAACTTTGTCTGGGGGTTATTTTGTAATTTAAATACTAAAATATTCCAGATAGAACAGAATCTTGTGCATTTTATTAAGTCATGTACACAGGGGCGGCTTACGATATTTTCCGGAGGGGGGGGGGGGGACGCAGTGTCTCCCTCCATTTTTCCAGTGAAGGGGACGTCCCCAAATTTTCCAAAGGGAGGTCTCCCAATTTTCCAAAGAGAGGTCTCCCATTCCCCCACTTAAGCCGCCACTGGTTGTTATTATTGGTAGACAAATTAAATTTGTTTTTGTTAGTTTTTAAAGTCTTGGTTCCATCTATTAAAAGAGAATGCCACCCAGTAAATGTTTAAAAAAAACTTTTAAATCACAATAGAAATGTTCAAAAAAACTTTTAAATCATAATGATTAAATTCTAATATAATATTTTATCTACTGATTCACCCCGCAACATTGTTTGTATACAATATAACCTGTACCATCTCAAGGGTTTTAGTGTACATAGGGAAATCCAAATAGGTTGTCAAGTACAATAGATGGCAACAGAAAATTTGACCAACTGCGACCAACGTCATATGTGTCAAATGAAAAAAGAAAGACGACATTTATGTAAACTAAATAGTCTGAGTAAGGGGGGGGGGCGTCCAGACCCCAGCCCTCTAAGTCGCATTAAAGTAAATATTTCTAGGGTCATTATAGGTTTACTGTTCAATTTCTAAAGCCAGCTAATTTTTCAAAAAATTTAACTTTTTGAAACACTCATACTTTATACAAATTTTACAAAAAATCATTTGGATTACCTTGTTTTAAAAGTGACGAGGTTTTGGTGGGTTAAACAATGACTCAAGTATACACATTATATCATCATACACAACATCAACAAAAAACACTAATAAAAATACAAAAATATTTTTAACTATTTATTAAGACATAAATTGGCATTTTTGTCTTAAATTTCGTATCATGTGATGACCTTGTTTGAGTTTACACTTATGACGTAAATACAACTGTACTGAAATTGTATGCATTCTATGCTGCCCGTCTATTGTACTTGACAACCTATTTGGGATAATCCAAATTATCCAAATGCAGCTCGAAAGTAGATCGATTGTGATCAATTGTTTTACTTTAACAACGTTTTAAAACATGCAACTTTCAGAAAGTAACTATTGATATTTCTTACATATATAACAGCTTATAAACAAAGTGTTTAACAACTAAGCGAATTTCTGTTGATTAAAAGGATATGTCCGACATCCTACATCAGTCAAAGGTTTAAAAGGTACTGTTGTGAATCAGGGATGCTCCTCTTTTAAATATAGAAGTTCACTAGAAATCACTCTTGCAGTCCCGTTAAAAACAAAATAATTGAGTTTTTACCACATACTAAAGTTTTCTAATTCCTTTTATATTTCAAACTTCGAATACTTGATCCGACAGAATTCATGGTTTGAAATATTAAAGGCCTACCACATCAGATTCGGGTGGAAGAGATATAGAAAATAAAAATCAAAGTTTTAGGCAAAAACTCAGTTCCTTTGTCAAAGTCTTATTATTAATTCAAAAATTTTACTTATAAATTTAGGCAGGCGATTGAATGCTGAAATCTATTCAAAAGATCAAAAACGATCTTTAAGTTGTCACTCAACTGTCATGTTTCGTGGTGACATACAATAAAGCTCTTCGTTCATAAATATATTATCTCAGCACATAGCTAATCAAATACATTCTATCTAACTGCATATAGACTTTTCTAGCCATGATAGAGGGTGAAAATTCATTCTCGTTGACCGTATTAGTCGTTGACATCCACCGTATAGCAAATGGTGTAAATCCATTCTTGCTGACTGTGGTAGACTTTGACATCTACCAAGCAATTGGTGTAAACCCATTCTCGTTAAATGTAGTAGACTTTGACATCTACCATTTTACCAAATCAATGGGAACCCACAAAGTTTCCTGTACTACAAACACAAATTTTTAAAGCAACGTTGATTTTAGAAATTTGACAAATTGTTTTTTTTGCTACAAACTCTGATTTTTCAATCTCCATATCTAAATGCAATATAATGTCGTAAACCTAAGATATTTCAAACTATGAATTATGTCAGATCAAAAAGTCAAAGTCTGAAATATTAAAGGTTTACACCATCGGGTTGCAAAGATATAGAGATTAGATTAATTGTAGTCTGTGGTAACGACTCAATTCCTTTTATATACTTTTTCAGAAGTTTCAAGAGTACATACAGTACAGATGTAAATCAGGCATTGTCATATTATTATTAGGTAAGTAATATGATTCCAATGATATTGTCGAATTCTAGACCTATGTTGTTTATTAATAAAAAAGTGTTAGTTCTAGTGCAACACGAGAGAACGTCATATGTCCACATATATTTTGATTTTAGTTCAATAACAAACAAAAGGACTATTCCTGTCTGGGGGTTTCTGGGGTTTATAATATATATAGTAAAATACCACATATTTTCAATGTTTGCCTCGAAATTTTATAACCGGAATTCAATATTCAAAGTAAATATGCTAAGAAGCCTGATCCTTGCGAACAATTTAAAAAATATTTCAATTTAATAAATAATGTCAGTTTTTAAAATTTTAATAACCTCGAAACCTCGTTTTTTCTTCTGGAAATTTCCCCACAATATCCTCTCTTCCTTTCACAGCCTATTATACTATCCATCTTTGACAAAAGGAATTTGAAAAATGTCATTATTATCTTGTGTACAGTCCTCCCACCTGTCATTTGGCTCAAGACAAATGTAGACAATACAGATAGAAATCAGCTTACTGAAGATTTTAGGACAATTTCTGAGCAGAGCGCTGAGGCGGAAGAAGATCAATTATTTTTAAAAAGACTCAAATTATTTAATGGTTGTTTTGTTTTCTATTTCAATATTCTATTGACATCTTGTTATAATATTATTTTCGTGTCGCTATTGTTCTAAATAATATTTGTCAACCATATCATTTGAATATATCTAAATTTATTGACCTAACACTTATTATCTTTCGTACATTTTTGTTCAACACTTTCCCCAACGAAGTTTAGCCGGTCATCTCCCAGTGTTCTAGTATTCTATTTTTACACAATATTTTTACTCAATATATTCATGAACGCCGAACAGGTGCAGCAAGGGGG